ACACGAACCCACGTTCCTTGTGATTTTTGCATTTGCAGCTTCCATTTACAAGGTTATTTCATGGTCCAAAATGGCTACTGGCGTGCCAGCCATTACATTTAAACTCCAGTCCCAGAAGGAAGGGATAAAGAAGAGCATGCCCCTTCTCGTAAATGACAGTAAAAGTTGCACACACTAGCTCCACTTGTACCCCACTGGTAAAAATAAGTAACATGGTCCCATCAATCTGCGGCCTTTATTCTGGGCAGCCAAGTGCACAGTTGAAAACTGGGGTTTCTGTTACTAAGATGAAAAAAAGTGGATACTAGGGAAACAACATGCATTCTGCCGCAGATACCAAATCCCCCATGTGACCGTACAGAAGAAGTCCATGTTTGCAAGGAAAATCTAGGTAGAATTTTGGATCAGAATCCACTCCTCTGATTCTGTCTTGAAACTTTAAGATCATCAGCCTTTTTTTTTTTTTTTTTTAGCCACTGCTGCTGACCAGCAATGCATGGATTGTGACCAACTTCAGAATGCCTCCCATCCTAATCACACACGAGCAAATGCTAGTCCCTCACTTCTGACAGGGGCCTCTCTGTTGAGCTCTGCCATAAGACATCAAGGGACCAGAGAGGGTCTACAAGTGTACACCAGAAGTGAGGGGGAGTTCTTCCTTCCGGGGGACAACTTTGACCACTGGAAGATGGAGCAGATGGGTAAACTCTTTCCACCTCCCCTGCATAGAAATGCTGTCCTGAGGGATTAAATACAGTTGAGCTCAACAAAGAGCAGTGGCCACCTGGGTGAGGCGCTCTTCCTTTGCTCCTCTCTCCTTGGACTGGTACCTACCCTCTAATAGAGTACTCTGCATAAGTTTGGCCTCCGCCTCTGCTTTCTAGGGAAGCCAGGCTGAGGGAAAGCAAGAGTGCCAGCAGGTCACTCCATCCATCCAGACTCCCTGCCCCAGGTCCCCACCGCCTGGTGGCCAGCCGGGCCTGAGTGTTTCTGACTTAGGAATATGTAAGAAACCACTGCAGAGCTGAAATCAGTCTTCTGGCAGGTTCAAATGAAGTCCTGTTTGGTCTGAGGCTTCCCAATCTTTTTATCCTACCAGCCTTCCCAATTTAACAAGGTTTCCAGTTATTTCAGGTGAAACAAAAATTTTCTTTGAAAATTTAAAAGTGGTTATCTCTAATCACTGTCTTTAGGAAGAAAATTCATTAACAGAGCTCCTTTTTTTTTAATAGACTGAACTGAACACATGAAGAAATATGAGCATAGAATCCAGTTTTTCTAGAAACTTCATTCCAATTTTCTTGCCATCCCCCCGCCCCCACATACACTTTAAGGGTCTACCTTCAGCTGACTTTGATTGGGCCCTCTGGCTGTGTCTACAACACCTGGGAAACTGGAGCTCAGAGTAAAGCTTAGTACTTTTCATTGTGAGCCAATTCTCAATGCAACTCCAGCTCACAAAAATGTAGATGGTAACTCTTATTTTTTCACAGACAAGTCCATAAAAAATTCAGAAATATTAGGCACGAGTTCCTTCCCTACATACTCATTCATCAGCCGACTAATGATTTCAAAGCATTTGGAGGACATTTGGTTAGCAGAAAATGAATTTAATTCCCAAATGGTGTCGTTTCATAGGGATTATACTAAATGAGATCATTTGTTTCTCAAGAGTAGCCCAACCTAATGGAATTTGAGGGACAAGATCACTGTCATCGATATGACCCCCTGGGAGGAAATCCCACTCTCTGGAGCAGTCACAGGGTGCTCCGGTTTGCATCTTAAATATCTCCCAAAAGCCCATGTGTTCAAAGGCCCATGTGCTGGTTCCCGGCATGGAGCTGTTGGGAGGCAGGGAAACTTGAAGGGGGGAGGCCTCAGTGGAAGATGTCAGGCCCTTGGGGGTGCCCTTTCAGGGGATTGTGGGTTTCTGGCCTTCTCTGCTTTCTCTTTTGCTTTCCTGACATTGAAGTGAATAACTTGTCCTGCCACATGTACCCACCATGGGATATTGTACTGCCACAGGCCCAAAGCAACAGGGCCCATCAGTCACAGACAGAAACAGAAACCTCCAAAACCACAAGCCAAAGTATAGCTCTCCTCTACGTTAAGTTGGTTATCTCAGGTACTTTGTTACTTATAGAAAACTGACTAACACAAACGGATAAAGCAATTCCAGACCTGTGCAGAGCTGGTATTTCACTGACTACACTAATGGCTTCATGCTGTAGGATTCTATTTATGTGGGTCAATGTAGCATCAATTTAATAAGCCATTTTCCATAGCAAAGTTATCTTGGTTACACCTTTTGGATTTCAGCTGCTCTAAAACTTGAGAAAATAGTGAAAACTTTGAGGAAAGTATTTCCTTTCCTTCTTCCTGCTTTCAGATTTGAGGATCCCTGGTTATTCCTGAGTTACTCCCATCATCCAAAGTCGTCATCTACTGCTTGGCTGTCACTGGGGGGAGGCATCCTTATTCTAAGAGATGGCTTTTCTAAACACTGTGAAATTACAGTGGCTTTTAGGTTGCAGATTTTTCGCCATCTCCTGGATGGTGGCCAGCCAGGATGTCTTCAGAACATATATTGTTAATAAAAAGCTGCATCCTAGCTGCCAGGTGAGGGTGCACCTCCCCGGCTGGCTTTGGGTCATATCAGGCTCTGTGGGTTGGGAAGCAGCGAGATAGTACAACATCACCCAGATTAGTAGGCAAATTCTGCTCCAACTGTAGAAGTCATTCTTGGGGAAGAAAAAAAAATCCTTTCTCTCCCTCCCTTGGCTTCCCTTTGCTAGTGTTTTCCTGAACCTGAGAAATGTATTTGGTCTTTACAATGCCCACCTTCAAAACAGAGTCTTTCAACTCAGCCAAATTTTCTGCTGAGCCAGCCACTAGGAACAAACACTGGGGTCTATGGCAACCACAGACACGTGGGCGTGTGTGCACGAGCATTTGTATGTGATTTGTACACATATGTCCGTATGTATGTGTTTGTGTGTGTGCATGAGTGTGTGGCATATATGTCTGTGTATGTGTGTGGTGTGTGCATGTATGTGCATCTGTATGTTTTTGTGTGTGTTGCTTTTCCCCGTTCCTCTTCCTCCAGAGACATCAGCCAACGCAATCCATGTTTCCTAAAACAGATCCAAATCTCTACTTCAGGACATGGAACTAGAATAAAAAAAAAAAAAAATCTCTCTCTCCAGGATCAGAGTCCCAGAAAAGGAATTAGGTCTAGATTGAAACCCACTCTCCCACATCTGTATTCCTCAAATGTGAGAGAAAGTAACCTTTATTAAATATCATGCTATAGTCTTCCATGTGTGATTCATCTATATTATTCTCCTTCGCTAGGGCGAGAAAATGCTTTTCTATGTTTAATTAATGCCAGCAATTCAGCAGCTCCAGAGAGGTGGGTCCTAATTAGTCAAGTGGGGTTTCCATTACACAGAGAGCTTCAGAGGAAGATTTTAGCATTTCCTGAACTAGAAGCCAGAGCCTGGGCCAGACCAGAATAGGGAGGTACAGTGCTGTTAGTCACCGAGAGAACCAGAGAAAGGGTTGCGAAATCAGGGCTAAATCCCTGAGCCCTGGCTTCCTTATCTGTGCATCCAGGGTGTTGGACTTGGGTTCTGGATCTTTGCCAGCTAACAGATGAGATGACTCTATGCCATCATTAGTGTTTGGTCAATATTAGGAGGTCCCCACTGGAAAGCAGGTTAATAGACCACTTGTAGGTAAGAATACCTAATGACATAGCTAATGAAGGTGTCAATCCAGAGAGGAAAAGGCAAAATCTACCCACTTCAGTGGCATAAATAATTTTTTAAAAGGAAGAAGGGTAAGGTCTGGGAAAAATTATATGGTAGCCCATTTTTCCAGCTCCTACATAATTCTTTTATCAATGTCAGAAAAGAATTGAAAACCAGTGACTTATGGTTTAGATAGGTTGGAGGATCACTTTTTTTATCAGGAGGCTATGGGAGTTTTATTGTTATTTTCAACTGAAGAGTGGAAGGCTTCCTTGTCTGCCCCCTTGACAGGAATTGTGGGAGTGGCGTATGCAGCAGGGCTTCTAGATCTCCAAGCTAATATCCTCACTTCTGGTGCTGGGGCTTTGTAAACTGTGGAAATCTCAATCTCTCTCTCTCTCTCTCTCTCTCACACACACACACACACACACACACACACACACACACACTTGTGCTTTCTCTCAAAAAGCACAATCCACACTTTCTGGGCCATTGCCTGCCTGATAGAACTGGCAACCCAGATGCCGGAAGGAGTCAGGCGCTGACGGCTGGGGACCTGTGTGGCTGGGCTCTCCTCCTCTCTGTTTGCATTTTATTTGCTGAGGAGGCTGGCCTCTCCACCCTCCCAGCTGTGTGGACGGCAGCCCATGGCTGCAGGCTCTGATGTGCCCTAAAGGGATGGCGTGGGGCTCACGGGAGCATCACCTGCCTCCAGTCAGGAATTCCACCTGTCCCAGTGTCACCCAGAATGCAAGGGAAGGATGTCCTCATCCAACCCCAGCCACTCCCAATTTTGTTTTCTTCTCCCTTTGAGAGGAAGGGGAAGAGGGACAGGGAAGACATGGCATCATGGGACACTGAGCATTTTAAGCGAGTGGCACGTCTTGGAAAATAGGGAAGGGAGTCCTGTTGGGGAGCCATTCCAGGCTGGTAAATGCAGAGGAGCAAAACAGGGTCCCCAGTAGGGGGCGCTGGATGAGGCTTGGCTCTAGACACAAAGGGTGTCAACGGAGGGTTGAGTCCTTGCCCCAGGCAAGACTCCAGACTGGTTCTGACTCAGGTGCTGTTGTTGATAAGAGGTGTTGATTAGAGGGGTGGCTAAGGGAGAAATCCTGAATCACGCTGGGCACTTAGCTGGCCACGTGGCACCATAATGACACACTTAGTGAGATGGTGCCAGTGCCCTGAGCCATTTCCTGATACAAAACAAATATTTGAGTTTGAAGAGCAGAGTGAAGTTGCAGAACTATTTTGGTAGATGGATTTTTCACATTTTCCCTGCAGCAACTAGAAGCCTCTGGAGAACCTTATTTGTGGCGGTCGCTGTTGTGCAGGTAGTTTGCCTTGAAAGCCTGTGACTTCACATATTAAGAATGTCCTCCCTCCCCAACGACGGACTTCCTTGCTCTTCTGTCTTATTTGTGTAATTGGTGCCTAGAGAGGATTTCCAAAATCATCCCCCCAAATTGAAGTGCCAGAGGGAGTATAGCCAAGGAACTGGCTCCTTCTCCAGGTCATGATGCTGGCCTGGTGTCCTCCAGCTCAGAGATGGAAGGGATGGAAGGCAGCAAATGGAAGGCACAGGTGCTGGTCTAGCTCAGGCGTGGGAAGTAGTCAGGATAACTTACCTCTCTAGGCATTAGTTTCCTGATCTGTAAAAATAATGTCCAAGGTCATATCCCAGTAAACTTTTAAGCGTGACCATGTCTGGAATAAGTTCAGGGAATGTGGGGACTCCTAGGAACAGCTATAGGTCTGATCTTGGCTTTGAGCTCTCTTGAGTGTATGGGATTGAGGCTGTGGGGACTGTGTCCTCTACCTAACCCAGGGCTCAAGCTCCGTTCACTCTGGAGCCAGTCTCGGAATCACCTTGACATTTTGAGGGCCTTTCAGTGGATTTCTAAGTCACATTCCCTGGCCTGATAGAAAGGCAAGCCAGGAGCAACGGCACACACCTGTCATCCCAGCAACTTGGGCGCCTGAGGCTGGAGGGTCGCAAGTTGGAGGTCAGCCAGGGCAACTTATTGAGTATCTATCTCAAAATTAAAAATAGAAAGGGCTGGGAATGAATCTCAGTGGTGAAACACCCCTGGGTTCAATCCCCATTAATAAAAAGAGAAGAGACCGCAGCCACCAGGGACCATCCTGGAACTAGAAAAATCTAAGGGAACAAGGGGAGAGGGAATCTCAAGAGGAGAGGGGAAAGGGCGAATTCCTGATAGCACAGCAGATACTTTCACAGCAGTCTTCTTGTAATGGGGCTTCCGTTTGTCCAATACCCCCTGCCCCCCGCCAAAAAGCTGTCTGTCTCTCCCCTCCCCACTTCCCATAGAAATCACAGTTCCTCTACCTTTTGGCATTATCTCCCATGTCTCAAATGTAATCAACTTCTCTCTCTCTCTCTCTCTCTCTCTCTCTCTCTCTCTCTCTCTCTCTCTCTCTCTCTCTCTGTCCATCTTGGCAGTGAACCCCTGGGCTCAACTCTACTGAAGTTACATGAGTCCTATGGTTCAGAGAGAGAACCTGAGTCAGCAGAGCTACCCCGACTCGGCACCCCAGGTTAGCCACAATGGGACCAATCCTCTAGTCCTTCCTTTGGCCTAATTCCCACTGAAATCCAATGCCCAGGAAGAACTACAGGCCTTATACATACAGTTATGAACAAAGGTTTTTAAAAGGCTTGAGGGCAAGAAATGGGAATCTGCATCTCTCTCTCAGCAATCACCCTGTGCTTATTATTATAATAGCCCAATTATCCATGCATCTGCTCACAAGGCGGGGGCAGGGCAGCAGGGCCACTCTGGCCTGCGCCCTCTCTTTGGCCCGACCCTCTCCTGGCAGATGGGATCAGCCCACGTCTCATCAGGAGCGAGAGAGGAGAAATGAGAAATGGAGAGTCAGAAGGATTTAATATGTCCATCAACCCCTCCTACTCACTCTCCACTACCTTGTGTGTTTATTAGTTAGCATTTTATGTGGTAAGTTATCCTGAACAAATACTATTATGGGATTGAAAAGGGAAACCAAAAGGTATTTAAAAATGCCGAGTCATGGAGGAAGCTTGAAAGGAATGATGGGAGTAGATTTAGAGACCGGGGAGAAATTATGTCTCTGGACATTAACGTTGGATATTCTGGAGACTGATTCCCCCAAATGATAACTCTTTATTCTAAGAATAAAGGACCCAAAGGACATGAGGTAGAAATGGTAAACTTGCTAATGATTTACAGGGGTGCTCCACCCTGGCTGTCCATGAGAAATGCTTGGGGAATAAAAATTAGTCATGAGGGGACCCACCCCTCAAAGGAGGATTCCTGGATGGTGGGGCTCAGGCATTAATATTTTTAAAGGCTCCCCAGATGATTTTGATACACAGGGAAGGCAAAGAAGACCAAAAGACAGTCAGCACTGTTTTCTTCAATAAAGAAGGAAGTTGGGAGATGCCCAAAGCAGAAAAGAAACCATTTGTGGTTTTAAATACATGATACCAATTTAATATAATACTGACTTTAGTAGCAACTAACACTTTGTGCACTAAGCACTTTACTTGCATAAATTCATGTAATTCTGATAATAATCTAGGAAGAACACATAATTATTGGCCCCATTTTACAAATAAGGGCACCAAGGCTTAGGGAGATGTAGTAACTTGACCAAAGCCAACATATTGACTCTAATGTGTAACAGGCACATAAACGTAGATAGCATGGAAAATGCCAAGATAAGCAAGACACAGGCCGACTCTCAAGTTGCTACCTTGGAGTAGAGGAGCAAATAAATGACGAAAAGTCCAAAGTACAATATGACAACCGCATAGAGTTACAAAACATGCAGGAACCACAGGACAGGGAGAAGGAGCAAAGGCTCTGGGGGAGTGGAGTCAAATAGGAAGATAAGCTGCAGATTCTGCCAGGCGATGAAGGCCGCAGGGTAGCAGCAGAAGGAGGAGGTCCCAGGGAGAATGCATAGTGTACAGAAACACAAGAAAGAGCTGAAAACTGGCAAACGGCCCAGTGCACTGAAGATTTTTTTTTTTTTAAAAGGCATAAGGCTGGGGAGGAAGTTTCCCTGAACTGTGGGAGTTTTAATAGGATCTTGAAGGTACAGGATATGCACAGGTATCCAAACAGGGGGTGCCATGGCACAGTGAGTGTTTCAGGAGATCTTCCATAGGAAGGCGAAGCAATCCCAGGCCACCAGGCTTGGATCTCAGTGAATGCAAGGAGGACAGAAGAACTAAGGCACCTGGGAAATATTTTGCATCCAGCTCTGATGCTTGATCTTGCACTGAGTTATTATTCTATGTAAGAGCCACAGCCCTGGCCTGGCTAGAACTACCCTGATAAATCCATCTTTCTCCAGTGACTGTGGTTGCTGCTATAGTTTCTAGGGTAAAAGAGGGTGTGTAGTTATATTCTCTACATATTTTAGATTTCTGTTGCTTTTAGACTTTGTACTTTTTCTCAGTGTCTATGAGGACACATGATATTTGATTTTTCCCATCAAAAATGAAATGAAGAGAATGAAAACACAGGGTGATGGCTAGGGATGACTTCTTTATATTTTTCATATGGTAGAGTATTTCTTACTTTCCGCTGCAGAACTTCCACTAGGACCTGGGACTCTGGGGGTGTCACAGTTTGGCTAATGAAAAATATATTTACTAGCAACTTTATGTTTTATCTTTAAAATTCATGTAAATTCTATAATCCTGTGATATATCCAGACTTTCCTGTTATGACATACCTGGTTTATCCCATGACTTTGTAGGAACTTCTGGCTCCCCACCATGGATTGCCCTTTGTCAAAAGACCATCCTGATAATTTCAGCGTAGGACTGCATTTTTTACTTGAACATGAGTCACTTGAAAGGCTGCTTTAAGTTATCTATTTCACTATAATCAAAGAAAACAGCTTGTAAACCTTATTTGCTCTTTTTTCCTCTTCCGCACAGGCTAACGTAGACATTAACGTATATGTCATCGTGCCACTTGGTGAAAAAATGCTCTTCAATTAAAGACCCCCTTTGTTTACAAGGTCAGTAAAGATATGACGAATCTATTAAAAGTCTAATCACCTTCTCCACTGTGCAAAATCTACGCAGGGGAAAGACCAGAGGGGAAGGAGAGTTTCAGAAAAAGAAGTCGACTTGGACATTTGACCAATATAGAGTGACAGCAGGAAGACATCCTTGATCTTCATGAAAAGTAGGTACCCTCTGTAGATCTTCATCTTCATGCACAATGACACCTCCTGCTCCAAAAGCTCATGGCCCCCCAGGTATATTTGCTGTTGCTTCTCTCCTTTCCAAGGTTCTGGCTTCCTTTCAAGCCATTAGATTCTCACATCTAACACCTTCTTCTCAGCCAGCTTTTCTGTGGCTTTTCTTCCTTATGGGCCTTTCATAGCTCATTCGCTGCTTCTTTTTGTTCTTTTTGGCACTGGGGGTTGAACCAGGAGTCTTTACCACTGAGCTACATCTCTGGTTCTTTTAATTTTTTTTTTTTTTTTAAATTTTGAGACCCAATCTTGCTAAGTTGCTTAGGGCCTTGCTCAGTTGCTGAGGTTGGCCTTGAACTTGCAATCCTCTGCCTCGGCCTCCTGAGCTACTGGAATTACAGGTGTGCACTACTGCACCCTTGAGCTTATAGCTCACTCATTTCTATTTTTTGTTTAATGTTAGGGATTGGTCCCAGGGCTTTGTGCATGCTAAACATGCTCTCCATCACTGACCTACACCCTTAACACCTTTATCCCATCTTGATAAAGCACTTAGTAGAGTCCATCTTCTCACCCCATCTGTTGCTTCTCAGATTTCTCCAGCGATGTTGCCTCTGTAGTGGACAGTTAATGCCAGGATTCCCCAAATCCTGCCCTTTTCCACTTGGACTCTCCAGTTACTGCAGTGGGCTCACTCTCCATGGCAAGATTGTGTTTGGCAGGGCTTGCCCTTCCCTGGGCTCCTCACCACCAGAGCACTCCTGCCCTGACATCAGTCCAATGACCAGACACCACAGTCGGTTGTGGAATAGGTGGTGTTCATTCTAAATATTACAATTGCTGGCCCAATCCATTTTCTTTCCTGCTCAAGCCAAACTACAACAGATAAAATGTATTAGCCACTTGTTAAATATTTCTTGACTCTGATATGCCTCTATCAGAGACCTGTATTCATGAAAACACTCATAGATGAGCCAAGAAGACAACATTGTATGGCAACTACCGCATTCTCCTATCCTTCCATGCACTTCCTGTTTATTGCTTAGGACTTGATCAACCTGTATCTATTACTGCCTGGGGCACATCAGAGTCACCCAAAATCCTGTTAGATGACTATGTTGAAAGAGTTGCTCCTGCATAGGATGGGGGACAAATTTTGGACCACTGAGTGGCACGGTTGTCCTACCCCAAGGAATTGGGAAGCAACTGGAAGGAGGGCAAAAGGGAAAGTATGTCTGGTCAGAAATACACGCACAAGGAGTCTCAACTGGAAAGTTTACAGTGAGGGAAGAAACACTGAAGAGAACTGTAATCCCTTGAAACTGCCTGAACCTAATACAAGGGACACTTTCAGGGGACACGTTGGGAAGAGTTGAAGCCACAATTGGATTTGTTACCTGAAGTCAGGGTTGGATACAGGAAAATGGTTGAGCAGAAGCAAAAGAGAAACATGAGAAGAGCTCAGGACTTGGGGAGAAGAGAAGTGCCGCAGTCAGGCTGGGCACAAATAACCGGGAGGTCAAGCCACTTGTACATTCAAGCAGGAATGAACTTTATTTTCAAACTCACACAAACGCCACCCACGCAACCCTCCAGAAACTCTGCGCGCTCTCAACCGGAACTCAACCAACCACGCGAACTCTCTAGGAACCTCGCGAGAGCTCAACCGGAACTCAACAGGAACTCCGCGAGAACTCAAAAATAGCGGGCACCAGAGACAGCAGGAACCGCCTCCTTCTGGCAAAATGCCAGGCACCATCTTGACCTGGCCGTGGCTCTCAACAGAGAAGGAGGAATAAACTCTTAAGGTCAACTCAAACAAGAACCAAAGACCCAAGTGTTGGGTGGGTAGAGGTCGACCATGTACCTTGGTCAAGTCCCTCATTTCCTTGCTGGAGGGGTGGAAATCATTTCAAGGAGAGGATCTTGGCACCGACCACAGTCTGCTAGGTCAAGCAATGACAGCAGAGAGGTTACAAACTGCCCTGGTGTGCTGGCTTCCCTGTGGAGAGAGCGACATAAGCACAGATCCTGGCTAGTAGGGTTTTCTCCGGACTCCACGCCCACCAGGTCCCAGAGTTTCTGCTCACAACAGCGGAAAACAATTACCAAAGATACAAGGTGAGGATGCTGTATTATTTATACACCGACTGCCCACCTCTAGACCTTCTAGACAGCAACGTCAGTGTTTTCTACCCAACAATAAAAATTTGTGAATGGCCATTTATTTGCAGAAATAAACATAATCTCAAAAGGACTGTACCCAATGAAACTCTTGTTTCTGGGTTCCATGACTTTTCTGAAAGGGCCAATTAAATGCATCACGCAGGGAAAGCCACTTAGAACAGACCCTGTCAAATGTTCTTCATGAAAAGGGACCTGGAGTCATAGTACAAAGACTTCCTTGGGAGGCCAGGCCTTCCCTGATGCTTATCTGAAAGACTCACCATTCTCTACATGTGAATGAGATTTCTTGTTGTCATGGTTACAGTTAACAGTAATTCAATTCAACATAATGACATATATATGCATCAATGGTGACATCAGAGTTGACCCCTCTGTGTCTGAAAAGAAGCTCTGATGCCTGTCTTTGGAGGTCCCAGGAGGGCACTCTGCAGCCCTACGTAGCCTTGGGCTTCTATGCATTCCTCTCCTTCACAGTTATTGAAATCTACTATGTGGCAGGTCCTCTGCTGGACCTAGAGATACTGTAATAAATACCTCAATGACTAAGGAAATTGGAATTTGGATGTAAAAAACAAGACCAAGTAGTCTACCACACAGGATAATGGTGTCAAGTAAAGGAAGGCACTGCAGAGGCCCACTCCAAATGAACCGCTCGGGTTCATTTAGTTATGAAAAATGGCATGCATTTCTTTCCTGTAGTGTCCCAGTGAACTACTACATTAGTGACTTAAAATAACCAAAATGTGTACATTAGAATTCTGATGAGGGTCTCAAAGGGCTTAAATCAAAGTGTTGATAGCCCTGTGTTCCTTTTTGGAGACTCCAGGGGGAAAAAAAATTCCAGTTTTTAAAGGCAGCCCACATTCCTTGGCTCCTGGCCCCTTCCTCCATCTTCATAGTCAGCAACGTTGCATCTCTCTGATCATTCTTCCAGAGGGACACTTCATGTTGACTGTGGCTGGTAAGGGTTCTCTTTTTTTTCAGAACTCTTATAATTAGATTGATCCCACCAGATGAATCAGGCTAATCTCATGGTTTCAGGACCCTGAACCTAATCACATCCACATCATAAAGTGATGCAGTCATAGGTTCTAGAATTAGTACATAGACATCTTTGGGGGCATAGGTCATGTGGCTTAAATGACAGAAATTTAATTTCTGTAGAGAGAAGATGGAAATCCAGGTGCTGGCAGGGCTGATATCTTCTGTGGCCTCTCAAATGGCTGGTTACTTCCTGTGTCTTCACTTGGTCTTCTCTCTTTTTTGTCTGTGTCCAAATTTCCTCTTTTTATAAGGACAGCAGCCATATTGGATGAGGGTCCACTTTAATAACCCCATTTTACCTTAATTAGTTTTTGAAGGCCCTGTCTTTAAATATGACCCCTTTTTGGGGGTGGGGGAGTTATTGAACTTAATGCCTTTTACCTTGAATGATATAAACTGGGCATCCTTAATCCAAAATGCTCATCAAGTAAAGTCTATGCAAATATCCCCAAATCTGAAACACTCAGAGACCAACATTTGGGATAAAGGATACTCAGCCTGTATCATGTTACATTGGCTTTACTTTGTATTATACCATCCTGTTTTATATTCCTCCTGGGCAGACTGTATCTCTAACTAACCTCTTTCTCTCTCATGTGGCTTGACACAGTGCCTGAAATATCACAGATTGTCAGTAAATATCTGATGAATGAATAGAGTTGATGTCAGATCACCATGAAGCGATCACTGGAACATGAGATGAGTTCAATATGTCATAGATACATTTATTTCTTGCTTCAAATACAGTTCTTACAGGACAAGGAAACAGAATCATGTGCAAGTCCTTGGGGTTAACAAATGACTTCTGACAAGACTAATATTGTATACCAGAAAACCTGACTGATCCCATGGTTGCAAAATCCAGTGGTATGGCTGAGAGGTGAAAGGCCTATGTACCATTGTTGAGAGCTCCAGTTCGAGCTAGACTGCCTGGGTTTGATCTTGACTGTGTGACCCTGAAAAGCTGACATAACCTCTCCGTGTCTCAGTTTCTTCTTCTGTTAATTGAAGACAGTAAATATATCCACCTTATAGGCTGTTATAGCACTTAGAATAGTGCTGGGCGTGTAGTAAGCAGAGGGTGAATGTTCGTTATTATTATCACAGTGACTTCGTGTTTTAAAATGTACCCCCTTCTGCCGCTCACTGCTACCCCTTAAATGGGGTCAGTATATTTCAGTGCAAAAAATATGAAAAGTTCTTCAAAAACATGACACTTCCAGCCGAGGATCTGCAATTAGCACTGGGTGTAATTCTCCTTTTTGTGTTTCTGTACATTGTGCAGGGGGGGAAAGCAAGAAGAACTTGTTCACCTAGTGGTTGGGCCTTTGTGAAATGTGACAGCCAGGTCCCTAATTATTCTTAGAAATGTCAGAACTCACTGGACACAATTAGGCTTGACAGTTCAAGGGCTAATTAACTGCAAACCCTGCTTCTTGGGTTGCCTCATTTGCAATCCTTGGTCATTTATTGTCTTAAGTCCTTTTTAAAAGTCCTTTTTCAGTTTGGTAGGAGGTGAGAAGCCTGTGTACCACAGATCTGTACGGGGAGGGGGTGACTTAGCCAGACCCCGGGGCTCGGCTGGGGTGTAGGTGAGGTGTAGGTGGACAGGCGCATCCCTGTCCAGAGGCAGAGGACAGCTGCAGCGTGCACAGGATACCTGGAGAAAGTCACACCAGCCCTTATTAAGTTCTGATTCTTCCAATTCAGAAAAGCCTTCCTTCCCCCTTCTCCTCTGACTGTCTCTAGTGCAAGACTTTTCAGGGTCACACTATCAAGATCTCCAGGCTCACTATCTATCCTCATTAAATACAAAACAAAACTACACTAAATGAAATAAGCCAGATGCAAAGAGACGTATACTGTATGATTTCATTTATATGAAATATCAAGAATAGGCAAATTCATAGAGATGGCGAATAGATTCAAGGTTTCTAGGGCTGAAGGGAGGAAGGAATGGGGACTCATGGCTTCATGGATGCAGAGTTTTTATTTGGAGTGATGTGATGAAAAGGTTTCAGAGATAGTGGTGATGGAATCTCAACACTGAATGCAATGAATACCACAGAACTGTATATATATATTTGAAGGAGTTGAATGGCACATTTTATGTCACATCTATTTTAGCATTTAAAAAAATTTATTCTATTAAATTTTTTTTTTCAGTCCTAGGGATTGAACTCAGAGCTTGCACATGCTAGGCAAGTGCTCTACCACTGGAATCTATATATCCCCAACCCTATACCTGACCCCAACCGTTTTATTTTATTTATTGTTTTGAGATAGGGTCTCCCTAAGTTGGCCAGGTTGGCCTTGAAGTTGCAATTCTCTTGTCTCGGAATTACAGTGTACACATAATACCTGAACTAGCATGATTTTTTTAAATGCTAGGGTTTAATGTGCCCACCCCCGCAATTCAGTTGTGGTCATTGGGATAGTAATAGGAGGTAGAACCTTTAACAAGTGGTTAGGCCATGAGGGCTCTAATAAAAGGAAGTTAGGCCCTAATAAAAGAGGAGGCTTCCATATTAGGTTCAGCGTGCTTGTCCTTCTGCCTTCTACCATGTGAAGACAAAGCATTCAGGGTGCCATCTTGGAAGTGGAGAGTGACCCTCACCAGACAACTGAACCTGAGGGCACCTCGATCTTGGATTTCCCAGCCTCCAGAACTGTGAGAAGTGTATTTTTATTTTTTATAAATTACCCACTTCTCAGGTATTCTGTTATAGCAGCCCAAATGGACTAAGAAAAAAGGAAAACAAATCCCTCACTTTTCAGCATCACATGTAGGACTGTCCATCTTCAGATTCCTGTGGATGCACCAACTATACCAAACAAAGGGAAGCTGGCAGAAGGCAGGTATGGCTGCCTGGCCTTCCCACCCTTGCATGCTGGTCCCGGGGAGGGGAATGTCCTCTCCTGCTTGTCTCTCTGGCACACGCCTGTCATCTTTAGAATCACAACTCAAGTGTTCCATTTTCTGAAAAGTCTTCCTGACCCTTTCCCTACCTTTCCAGAGAGAACTGGTTATTTCCTCCTTTGTGTCTTTTTGTACCTTGTGTTACTACAACACCTAACCAAATTGTATTGATTTATTTTCCCTTTATAAACATTGAGTTGCAATACATAGAGTAAAATTCATTCTTTTTAGTGTACATTTCTGTGATAAAGCTAGTTAAAGCATGACCAGCACCACATTTTCATTATCCCCCTAACCCCTATGCTTCTCTATAGCCAATCACTGCCCCCGGCCCCTGACAACCACTAGCCTCTTTTTTGGCCTCTAGTTTGTCCTTTTTAGAGTGTCATATAAATGAAATTATGCGCTATGTACCACAGTCTATTGTCACTAGTTTTTATTTACATATCTGTCTCTTTCTCTGAACTTGAGACGACTCAGGGACCTTGCCTTATCCGTCTTTCCCAGCACCAGGCATGACGTGTGGTTCACTGTGGTTCTCTGGGCCTGTTCATAGAATGGAAAAATGAAAGCATCATGTTAGAATCTGTTTTCTAATAGAAACGACCCCAGCCTGGAGTCCTCAGGTTAGGGTTAAGTGGGAGGTTCCAGGAAGGAGCAAAAGAAGCCTGTAGCAAAACAGTCCTAACCAGACATGACAGAGAAAGGTGAATTTCCCCCAGCCCTTCCTTCCAGGTGACTGACAACAGAATGCTGTAAGATAACTGGTATGTGGCTGCCTGGACCCAGAACCCTCCTTCCTGCCAGCAATGGTTATCTCCTAACCAGCAATGGTCACCCCTAAGTGAGCCCCAGTAGGCCACGCCCATGGGCAGAGCCTCTAGACTGGACTGTTTGGTCCCCACCAGGGCACTTCCTATTATGAGCACCTCTGGGACCCCAGGTCAGCATCCAGGAGCAGCCCAGAGGGTTCCAAAGTCAACTCACCACATTCATCATGGATATTATCCTGGAGGACAGAGAGAAGTAGGATATTGAGAAGAAAAGGGTTCCAGAACTACCTGACCTCTCCCATCCCTATAGCCTCCCCTACTTCCACCCGCTCCTCTCC